CGCCTGGCCTGCGGCCACCGCAGGGCCCACCTTAACTCCGGCGGGTCAGGCTGGGGCTGGAAGCCTGAGAGGCGGCCCAGGCCGGGTATAGTCAGCGCCGCCCCTTAAGCCACAGCCATGGAAACCCATGTGGCGCTCATCCTGGGGCCCCAGGGCTAAGCAAAACTGAGAGGAGTCAGGACAGCCGGGCAGCCCCGTGGGAACCTGGGGTCGGTGCGGATGCGGAATGCCAAGGGAAAGCGCTTTTGTTTATGAGGCCGGGGGAGCCGGTGCTGCAGCCACCGCCCTTGCCCCAAAATACAGAGAGAGGAAAACCGAAAAGGAAAGGAGAAGGGGGCGAAACAGGCTCGGGGTACTTTTGGCGGGCCCCCGCCCCGCTGCCTCTAAAGAGCCTCTTTGCTTTTCATTTTGGAATCTTTCTTCCACTTCATCCTGCGGTTCTGGAACCAGATCTTGATCTGTCTCTCGTTGAGACACAAGTTGTTGGCGATCTCTATGCGCCTGCGGCGAGTGAGGTAGCGGTTAAAGTGGAATTCTTTTTCTAGTTCCAGAGTCTGGTAGCGCGTGTAACTGGTTCGGGACCGCTTGCCGTCTGTCTCTGGAATACAAACACCCCCCAAGCCAGGAAGGGGTGAATAGCTTGCATTGCCTTAGCGTCCCCACCCGAGCCCCAGGCCCCGACCCGCGGCCGGAGGGACCGGAGACGGGCAGGACGAGACAGGCCCGGCGGGCCGCAGGCGGGCCCGGCCCAGCCTAGCCGCGGGAGAGGCGCCTCCGCCCAGGCAGGAAACTTTCCGCCGCAGCCTTCACTCTGCAGCCGGAGGGGCTGTGGGATGGGGCGAGAGGGAGACCCAGGCTCGGACCGAACAATAAGCACTCTCGAGATCCGAGCACCGGGGACCCCCCTCCCGCCCCTCCCGAGTCGCTGGAATCCTCCGGAGCTGCGAGCGCAGGCCGAGTCGGCTCCATAGGGGGAGGGAGGGAGCCGCGGGGGGATCCCCGCTCTGGAGCCCCGCGCTCCTCACCCTTCAGATCCCTCTATTTTTTTAACTCCCTCCCTCTCCCCCAAAAATTGAATATTGCCTTTTATACACGTTTTGTTCCTATGATCCAATTATGTCGTCGTAAATTTGGGCGCACACAGCCTCTAAGCCTTTTAGTGGACAGTTTTACGAGCCATTGATGCCTGGATCGTAAAATTTATGGCCGCAGGTTTTTTTTCTTTATTTGCCCCGCATGGCCTATAAAACCCAGGCGGACCCGAGCGCGCAAAATGAAGTCCTAAAGTTTACCGTGGCTCATGTGCAGTTTGGTCATCCACGGGTAAATCTGTGGCGGGGCCGGTGGCTGGCTCAGTCCGGCAGACTGCCCTGTCTGCGCCTGCTCCTCTTTGATCTCCCCACTGCTCTTAGCTCGCTCCTCCAGCGCTGGGCGAGCCGCCTTCTGACTGTACATCCCGGGGTTCAGAGGAGCCGCTTCGTCTCTGCCCAGAGCGTGTCCCGGAGCGGCCGCGGCGCTGCAGGCGGGGCGGTCGGGGTGAGCCCGGGGGTTGGCAGCCATGTCTACCCCGTGGAGAGAGTTGGTAGGCGCAGACGGTGGGAAAGTGATGCTTAAGTCCAATCCGCCGTAGCAGTACCTGGATGCCTGCACCTCTGAGGCCGATCCATAGTTCCCACAAGTTTGCATGTTATAGGCAGGGATATTGGGGCTCTGCTTATAGAATGAATTGGCTACGTAGGAGCTCATGGCGGGGAGGGCCCAAAAAAAATTTCTGCACCCTTTTTGATTAAGGGTGATTTGTGACTCTTTGAAGTTGAGGGGTTTTTTTGTTCTCCAAAGTGCACAATTTATAGGTGGAGATATCTCTTTCTTTATCCTATGCGCTCTTCCCAAATAAGGGAGCCTTAAATAGAGTCACGTGACTCCAGCGGCCACTCATAAATTTGGCTTGATGACCTCCGGGAGGTTAGTGATGGAAGCCGGCGAAACGCATCTTGATATGTTGGCAAAGCCTAACCAAGGGGGAGAGGGAGTGAGAGAGAGAAGGAGAGAGAAGGGGGAGGAAAAAAATGGTTCTTGGAATTGGGGGTAGCCGGGACAACGAGCCCACAGCGACACCTGGTGCCTACTTGGAGAAATTGCATCCTGGCGCTCAGGCTCGCCTTCTAGACCGCTGGATTTTCTACCCTGTAGAGAAGCTTGACTGTTGCTGCAACAACCCCTTGAAATGGCCTTTTAAATTGTATTTAATTTTAAGGAAAGATGAAGCCGCTTTTGATGCACTGAGGGATTTTTTTTTTTTTTTTTTTGGTAACGGATAGATCCATCCTCTTTACCTCCAGGGCCTTCCAATATTCAAAAAATGGCTGAGGGAAGGGGACCTAGGTTGGGGGGTTGGGACCATGCCCAGGTTGGACTTTGCGGAAGCTTATCTCAGGTTGGAGTTCCCTCTTCTTGGAAGTCCCAAGGCGCTGCTATTGCTGAGAAGGTGCCTGTCAGCAGGGAAAAGTGAACCAAGCCTCTGAAGAGGTAGACAGGATGGTCAGGAGAAGGGATCGTGGGTGGGCAGAACTAGATAGGAGTGGGTAGTTCATGGGGCTGAGAGTACTGGGGACTCTGGGATGATTCTGGAGGTGAAGAGCCAAGGTAGCTTAGTAAATCTTCTCACCATGCCAGAGACCCTAGAGTGGCAACAAGGATATTTTCAGTGTGTGTGTGTGTGTGTGTGTGTGTGTGTGTGTGTTTGTGTGTGTGTGTGTAGAACCAGACACAATGGCCTGGAAGACTACTCTGCATCCCTGTATATGACCCTCCTGTGGTACCACCTATGTCAGATATTTTGAATAGAAAATAGATGTTAATTAAGGGCATGGAGAAGTAAGATTCAAACCTCCACAAATATTATATGAACAGGGCAGAGGACAAGGCTTATTTTGTGCCCTATGAGGGAAAGGCCTCTGAACCAGGCCCTTAAGGGACCTGAATCCACAAGGTCCACAGGAGAGCAATTTCTGAGCTGAAAGAACCTGACTGGGGGTGGGGTGAAAGGGATGGGCAGAGCAGACGCCTGGGCAACCTTAACAGCCTGTGGCCAGGGGCTCTGCAGCCATTCGGCCCCTTTCCGACCCCCTCCACAAGCCCCAAGTCTTATTCTTTCCTGCCTGCCTCTCCCCAGGAAATCTCCGCCCCTGCCAGGAGAAGCCCCCTCCGGCCCCCCCGCAAGCGGAGGCGCTGGAGAAGGCGCTGGCGGAGATCAGGAAGGTCTGGAAAACTCTGGCAGATTTTTTTTCTCCTCGGGGAGACCCCCTCACTACCTCACCCCTTGGTCCACTCAGGTTTCTCTGGCTGGGCTTAGGGAGAAAAGGCCTGAGCTGGGGAAAGGTTAAGGCCTGGCTGCGCTCCTCATCCGCGGAGTTTGAGGAAAGAAGAGTGAGGAATCAGACTGGGGCTAGGGCTGTAAGAAAGAAGGAATTCTGTCCCAGCCGAGTCAGTAGTCCCAGAGCAGGCGAGAGCTCAGTTTCCAGGTTTTCTTTTTCGAGATGTCCTTGAATCGCTCAGTCCCTGGCCGAGGGCTCAAATCCCGAGTCTTCTTTTTCCCCTCCGCTCTCCGCCTCCGCCACGTTTCGCAACTGTCGCCTGGCGCTGGACAGGGGTGTGTGTGTGGGGGGGTGCCTCACAGGGCGCCCCCTCCTCACCCGGAGAGTAGGCGGGCGCGACCTGGTGCTCTGGATAATGCTGCATTTTTGGCAGTTGGGGGCTCGGGGTTCAGAAGACGGACCCCAGACTATCACAGGCAGGAAGGAAGGCCTGTGTGGGGCTGGAGACCAATTCGACTAAGCTCGGCTTCGTGCCCCCCCTTTACCCCCATCGAAATCCCATTCGGCATTTTGTGTGCGGGGTGAGTGTGGTGCTCGGCGTAAGGAGCCCAGAGAGGACTCCCAACCCCCCAGCGCGATCACCGGAGGGGGAGGCCAGGGCTGGCGCCCGGCTCCGGGAAAGGCGAGGGAAGAGGCTGGGGGCTTGCAGGCGGCGGGCGGACGCGGAGTGCTGGGAGCCTGTTCCAACTTTCACCCCGAGGCCGGCGGGAGAGCGAATTAACAGAAATCCCGATATAAACTTTTAAAAATAATATCAGTTTTATTAAATATTCGAGAACGGATCCAGAGGTCGGATTTGTACAGGAGGGTAACACGAGGGGATTTTTTTTCATTTATTTTTTTTCTCCTACTGGCTAAACAGACGTCATTCACTTTTTTTCTCTTTTTGTAATTTTCCCTCTCTTTTTTTTTTTTTTCCTTTTAAAGATGGGATTGGAACACGGACGGTGCTAAACATAAATATAAATACAGGACCACAAATACAGCTAAAAATATTCACACAGAAACGGTCACAGTTTGTAATATGCCATAATGACCCCCAGGATTCTTTAAACACAATTCGCCTGGGCTGGGCATTTGTTGGGGCAGAGGGGCCGGGCAGGGGCTGCGGGGAGGCCCTGGGGGTTGCTGTGGGGCCACGACTCGCCCTCCCTGGGCCTCCCGCCCTCCCCCGCGGCCAGGCCGGGCCCTAAGGCCCCGGAGCAGAGGCCCCGGGCCCGGGAGTCGGCTCTCTGCGCAGGGGTGGGGGGGCACCGAGGGGGTGGGAGGCCAAGTCCTCATTTGGAGGGAGAACAGTGGAGTCTGATGCGAGGTTCAGGGACAGAGCCCCCAAGGCCTGGGCGGGGGAAGGGGCCTGCAGACAAGCCGAGAACGAGCTAGCAGGGAGTGAGGAGGAGGAGGAGGAGGAGAAGGAGGAGGAGGAGGAGGTGCGTGATGAGAGAGTTTGTGCGGTGAGGGAGGGGGTCCAGAGTTGACTTTTAGGTCCATATCTGACTCCCTAATTTTGTCTTAGAGAGTCAAAACACACCAATTTGTGCCAGTGATAAATACAGAGTGTGTGATTAGGAGGGAGTTGGGAGAGCGAGGGAGAAGGAGAGAGAAGGGTGGCAGGGACAGTCCAAGTCACTCTTTCTGCTTCTCCTCTTCTGTCTCTTCCCGCTTTTCCTCTTTTCCGCCCAGGCTGTCGGCCGCGGCTCCTCCGCCGCCCCCTGAGAGCGTGGACGTAAGATTAGATTCCTTTTTCCACTTCATCCGGCGGTTCTGGAACCAGATTTTGATCTGTCGCTCGGTCAGGCACAGCGCGTTGGCGATCTCGATGCGCCGGCGCCGCGTTAGATAGCGGTTGAAGTGAAATTCCTTCTCCAGTTCCAGGGTCTGGTACCGCGAGTAGATCTGGCGACCGCGCCTCCGGTCCGCTCCATAGCCGACCCCTAGAGATCCGGGCACAAAACACACTAAAATCAGCCAGCAAGGCTTCCTCCGCAGACGATTTAGCCTAGCAAAGTCCTGACTCTCCCAACTTGACCAGCAGCTCAGGCCCGCTTTGGGCTCCAGCCTTCCCCTGTTTGCCTTGCCCCACCCCCACAAGGGGTACAGCCAGGATCCCAACTTCATTCAGTTTCCCCCATAGGTTGGTAGGTGTGTGTCCCAAAGAATGGAGGGGGTGCAAGAACCAGGCAGAAAGCTGTAAATCTAAAAGCTGGTTTTTGAAAAATCCCCAGCACTGGGGATGAGGGCCCTATTTCTCAAGGATTCGACTCCCCCACCTCCCCAAGCACCCTAGCTCTTTGGAAACTTCTCCCCCACTTTTCTGCCCTCTCCTCTCCTCCTCCCTTCTCCTCAGACTGACTCGACTTTGGGGGTTCCCTCACCCCTTGCCTCCTCCTCTCACCCCCTTCCCTGTTCCTGCCCCCTCAGCCCGCCTTGGAGCCCTCCAGTCCGTCAGGGGCCAAGGGGGCCAGGCCCCTCCGAGCAAGCGGGAGGCGAGCAGAGGGGGCAGAAGAGGGGGCCCTGTCTCGGCGTCGGCGAGGAGACGAGCGTGATTGTTTTTATGGGGCCATAAAAAACTCTCTCCGCCCGTTCTTCTAGGGAAGCCGGTCATAAAGCCAGTTCAGTTTATTTAATTTATATCTCGGAGCTGTAAAACTCACCACTGTGCGAATTCATTCGCTGCATCCAGGGGTAAATCTGGATACTGGCTTTCTGGTCCTGGGGCGCAGTCCTGCCCTGCTCAGAACTAAAATCCTGAGCGATTGAGGTCTGTGTGTTATGTCCTAAGGTGTTTTGTCTGCAGTTTGAGAGCATGTCTTTCTCCTGGTAAAAGGAATTAGATCCATAGTCATACGGCCCCCGGCTGGAACTGAACACGACATTCTCCTGTGGCGAATAAAAGGGAGTCGAGTAGATCCGGTTCTGGGCAACAGCCGCTCCATAGGTCGAGAAATGCCTCACTGGATCATAGGCGGTGGAATTGAGGGCGACGTTGGGGAGGACGTCCTGGCCCCCGGCGAGGTGGCAGGATAAGGAAGGGTTAGTGAAGTAGGAATTCATCCCTTTGCCTTTACCTGGTCGGGCTATGATTTCTTTAATATTTATTTCTGTCTCCAGTTTGTACTCGGAACTAGATGGTTATAGGGACGGCTCCAATCCAGGACAGACAAAATGACAAAGTCAGCTGACCCCCTTCCAGCCAATCGCAAGCCAGATGTCAAGAAGGGGGAAAAAAATCGCTTCTGCTTCTGTTGATTCCCTAGTTGAGACTAAGTGTGTGCTTTGAAAGTAAGACTTGGATTTCTTTAAAATATATATACGTAAGGGAACTGATCTGGAGGTGAAGGAAGGGTGAATGTCCGTGAGCAGGGCCTTGGGGCCCAGGGAAGGAGAGCTGCACTCCCAGGAAATCTCTCAGCCCCAGCTAACTTTGCTGTACAGTGGCCAGAGCCTGGGCTGGAGAATCCCTGTATTTTCAATCTGATTTCATCTTTTATATCTGCCCCCCCCCGTCTAAAATTACACCCTGATTTTTCCATGGGAGGAGCTCCCTCACAGCTCAGGGAGGATCCCCAGAAATCATAAAGGAAATCCTGGTTTGATACTCCATGAAGTCAGTCCTCAACACCAAACCAGCATATTTTCCCCCATTTTTTTAAAATCAAGAGTAGGAAGAAATTGCATAAAACATGGTGCTCAGAGAAGGAAGGGTGTGGCTGAGAGTCCTGGATGCAGGGGGAATGGGGGGAGCAAGAAGGTCTCAAGGGGTATGGGTGAGACCTCAGGGTAGAGTGGCAGAGCTGAGGTGGGCAAAGGGACCAGGCATCTGCTTTCCTCTTCCTCCCAGCTCCCTCCTGCCTCTCCCTTAGGACCCTCTTTTTGGGGAAACTGGCAGCATTTTTGCCTAAAAGGGAGAATGTATAAAAAATACAATAGAAAAGGAGAGAAAGGAGTAAAAGGTGAAAGAGTGAAAAAAGAAGGAAGAAAAAAAGAACTCAGAGTCTTTCTAGACACATCAACTCCTGTTTATGTTGGTGAGAATTTATGATTTGGAGCTAGCGAGGGCCAGTAGGGTAATTCACATTAAATCCAGCCAGAAAGAGAAGGCTGGTGGAGCTCTGATGGACACTTAGCATCTTGCAGGCTCAAGCCTTTACACATGTCAGAAGGCCCCTGCCCCCTCCAGACTCTCTGCCCTGCTAAGGGAGGCGCCCCTGGACCTGAGCTCTGGAGCTTGGAGATTCCAGCAAAGTGCTCCTGGCGAGCTCTCACCCACAGGCCAGCCACACCTGGTGGGGCCCAGCCTACAGCAGCTCCTGCCCCTATTTCTTTCCATCCTGAGGCTGAGAAAAAGGAATAGAAGGTTAGGAAAAGGCAGCTGAGTCCGAGGCTTCTGAGGGAGCGGCGGTGGGCGAACTGAAGCAGCGGAAGGTGTGCAGATGGGGTTTTACTCCTGATTAATCCAAACTTAATTTGCTATCGTGACATAGGCTGAAAATGCTTTAAGTTGACAAAGAAGGGGCAGTGGGGCATGTGAAGGGAGCAGTGGAAGCTCATATTTTCTCCTCATCATTTTTTTGGGGGGAGGACTGGCTATAACAAGGACCCGGATGTCGCCAGATTTTATGATCTTTTCCTTCTGTGTAACAAAGCGGAGTAATCAATGGGTAGCAATAAAGCCATAAACGGGACTACGCTGGGAAAAAACTCGTTTATTCATCTTCTGTAACGTTAAGGTTTCCCTGGAGTGTCGCTAGGGGGGAAAAATAAAGTTTTGAACCCAAAAGCAGACAGTGTGTAGGAACTGGCGGCGACAACATGTTAGTTAATACATGAAGCTCCTTACCGGGTTGAAGAGTCTTCCTGCCAGACAATTTGTGTTGGCTTTTAAAAATAAAAGCTCAGTCCTTCAGAGAGGAAAATTTGTTGGTATTTAGAAGGGTAGGGGAAGGACCCCTGCAACTACAAAGGTTCCTCCTCTTGGACCATATTTTCCTCTCCTCAAGGAGATGAAGGTGAAAGGGTAGAGAAGGGTTCTTAAATTAAGAAAGAAATTTTGAGATGAGTTGTCTCATTTTGGGGTGACACGGCAGGTAAACGAACACAGACACCAGCGTGAATTGCCTTCTGCTCTAGAATCCAGCTGTCCTCCAATTCATGGCATGCCTGGACAGAGGTTTCCAACAGCTGGCTGGGGCTCCAGGCCCCCTGGAGGGCAAAAGGGAGAGGGAGAGAGAACTAGGGGCGGGGAGACCCAGGGGGCTGAGCTAAGGAGCAAGTCAATGCACCCCCCCCCCCACCGACACACACACAAGTAGCCGCTCTGAGTTCCCAGCCTCATTTCTGCCCTAAGGGTAGTGGCGTAACACGTAGAACAGGCCAAAGAAAGAGTAAACCACCCCCTCCCCATTTCAGAGAGAGATTGCTAGAGGGATAAATCATGTCAGTGATATTTCCTTCAAGATATTAAATTGTTGCAATGTACAACAAATTGAATGATGGAAGATAGGATGTCTTAATGAGGTTTTGCTTTCAATGAGTGTCGATTTTCTATGTGTTTTAAAATCTCTCTCTTTTATGGGTGGGTGGGGGAAGGAAGGACGTTGGAAGAAAGAAGGGGCTTCTGGGGAAACACGTGCTGCAGCTCCCCAGCAAGCCTGCCTAGGTTTCCTTGAGCCCCTCCTACACTAAGTCTAGAGGGGAAAGGGGCCCCAAAGTTGGGAAGAGTCTCCTTTGGGGCCTAAAGGGTGTGGGCGCGGGGGTGGGCGACCTGAGGAGCAGAATGTAAGTCTCAGCCCCGGAAAGTTAAGTGTTTTATTACGTCCCTAAACAGAGGGCAGAGACTGAAAGGTCTTGCCGATTTATAATGAACAGAAACCAGCTGCTGGGGGAAAAAGGCAGAAATGCTGGAAGGGGGAGAGAAGGGGAAGCAGAAACACAAATATTTTTCCCCAAAGCTTAAAAACTTTCAGCAAAATTAATTTCCAACACACTCTCTCCCATCACCTTCCATTCCTTAGGAAAGCAGCTTCCTTCTTTCAGTTAGATCTTTAATTATGCAGCTGAAATTTGCTGGAAGGATTCTTCGCTCCAAGGGGGAAGAGCAGGTCAGATGAGCCCGATCTTCCCCCTATTGGCTTAAATTTTCCTTTTTTCATCTCATGTTAATTTCTTTTCTTTTCTTTTTTTGGCAAAAAAACAACTGTCTATGGGGAGAAAGCTGGGACTTGGGTTTTTTTCTAATATATTTATATTTTCCTGTTAAATTTGTCTGAAAACAATTATGGAAACTCATCAACAGAAGCAAGAACAGATGTTTTATTAAAACTGCAGTTGAGCTCTGTAAATATGCACAAGTCTTAGGAAGGGGGGAGAACTTGTTCTTTGTTTCTATAAAACAAGCCTAGAGAATCAGAGAACACCCCCCATCAGGCCCCTAGGTCTCCGAGTTGCTCTGCCCTTTCGGCCTCCGGAGTCAGGCATTCCAAGGGGGTTTGGCTGCGAGAGCAGATTTTTGCTTTGGGAACTGTAATTAGTGGATTCAAAAACAGAATTCAAAAGACACAGAACAGGAATAAAGGGGGAAAGTTGCCGCTTGCTGCTCCAGTCTCCCCCTCCCAATCCAAAACACATGCTTTTCATGAGCACTAATTATAGGAGAGGAACTTATTGCAGGCATGCCAAGGGCCTGAGTGGGGGGCAGCCACTGGCCTGTAGTCCCCAAGGCTCAGGGTCGTATTGGAGGCTGAACACTTGAGGGTTTTCCAGGGCAAGTCAAGCGCTCCTACTCTCCTTACCCCGCTCCAGGCCAGGGGCTGGGGCCTGTGTACCTTTGAATGGGGGAGCGGGTGGGTGGGGCAGGTCTCCGGCCCCCAAGGGGTTCCTAGGCAGGCTCACCTTGCTTGCTTTTGCTTTCCATTCTACTCTGGGAAATGTATTAATTTCTTAGGGAAGGGCATCTGAAGTGAGAGGGGTGAGATCTGGAATTTTTATTTGGGGGCAATCTTTTCCAGAGATCCTGTTTAGTTTGTGCTCTGCTAGTCTTCTCTCTCTCTCTCCCTAGATCCCTCAACTCTGCGCGGATGTCTGTGACCCACCCCGCCTCACATGCAGATACGCACACTCCATTCCTGGCTGCCGGCGCCACCAACTACAGCTCGGCGCCTCCGAGGGCTGCTCAGGGACGGGGACCCGGACACTGGAGCCGCAGGACTCAGCGCTTGGCCTGGGCGTTTGCCCGCCTGGAAGCAACTGCAGCTGCCTGACCCACCCCGCCAATTCTGATTCCCAGAGCCAGGGAGGAGCAGTTGCCCCACCGGCCTCTTTTGTGCCACTGGGCAAGGGCTGAAATCCCTCTTGCAGAGAAAGCTGAGTTTCAATAGTTGTTCAACTCACTTCACAATCTCACTGTTTGGTTAAGGCTTTGCTGTTCCACATTGACTGTTCAGTTAGCCCGACTGGCTTGTGATTAGATTTTTTTTTATTTAAAAATTAAAAGAATAAATCCTACTCCAAATGCCTAGTGTTTTTGTGCATGAGCTCCTTTGATCTCTTCAGAATCCCGAGTAAAAGGGCTGCAGAGCCTCTCAGTGCACCGGAGAACTTGAACACAGGGAGCTGGGTCTGCGTGGGGACATCAAAGAATATCTCACTCTAGGAGCCCCCAGTTTCTCATAGATATTGTGAGAGAGGCTGTCTGGGCACATACCTCCCCATATACACATTGCATCCCCCAAAATGCTCCTTCCCCCTTTAAAGTTCAGGCATGGAGACCCTTGGAGGAAAATGAAATTTAACACACCTAACCTGGAAACGGATTCCATTTGGGGGTGCCAATATTATGGGGACAGGGCCCAAGCTGGCCAGTTGAATAAAGTTGGGGGTCCACAGGGAGGGAGGAAGGAGGAAAAGGCCAGATGGGGCATGTCAAGTGCCTGAGAACTGCCTCAAACACCTCGGAGGCCTGGGCTGGTGACTCCTCTTTTGAGCCAAGAGGTTTAGAGGCTACACAAGCTGCTTTTGTTTTATTTGCCATTAAACAGAGAAAAAACGTACATGGA